GTTGAATGCGTTCAATCCATTCAATCTTAAACTTTTCGGAATATGTTCTTTGAATCGGACGTAGGCTCTCCTTTCTGTTCTACCAATGTAACTGCTTTGGCAGGTACATGTAAATTTGTATACACAGTTGGTGGTAACATGAAAGGGATACCTGTCGACCTTTGATTGTGTCAAAGAACATGTTGTTTTGGACAGGACAATCAATTTCGCTGCAGGATAGGTTCTTGTCAGTGCAGTTTTTAGTCTCATATTGATTGATCCTGTGACATCGTCACCTTTGAATTGAAGTTTAATAAAAATAGGCTTTTTATTTGCTGTAATTTCTTTCAGTTTTTTATCTTCACATTTGCCGTATTTCTCAATAAATTTCAGTGGGTATCCGTTATTCTTTAAACATTTTTTAACATTCATAACTTCCTCTTCTAGTGTATCGGAAGTACATATTCTTTCTGTTCTGTAAAACAGTGTTTTGACCAGTGCCTTTTTGTAACTGATTGGACAAAAGCTATTGAAATTAAGATAACTACCATTCCATGTGTCTTTCTTATAAACTGAACGTTGAACTGTACCATCTTTTCTTCTTTTCATCGCGATATCGAGAAAATGGAACTTGTTTTCTTTTTCATGTTCCATAGTGAAATGGATATTCGGATGTGCTTCGTTGAAAAACTCTAGCAGATTTATTGCTTGTTGTTTATTATTACATACGATGAAGGTATCATCAACATACCTCGAATAATACGTCATTTCATCAATCGCTCGTTTGAGTTTGGTTCTTTCGAGGTTAGCCATGAAAATATCTGCTAGGACAGGACCTAACGGACTTCCCATCGCTACACCATCGGTTTGTTTGTATATGATATCGTTGAACTGGAATTGAACATCTTTTGTACAAATGAGTAATAGTCGTTTGAATTCTGGTACTGGTAGAGGTAGGATGTCAGAATGTTGACAAATTATGTCTATGGTCTCAAGAAGTGGTATTTTTGTAAACAAAGATGTTACATCAAAAGAAACCATAAACTTATCAGCAATATTTATGTGATTCATGCTGTCAGCAAATACAAATGAATCCTTTAGCGTATAGGTGGCTAATCGTTGACGCACTGGTTCTAACTTATCTGCTAACCATCGTGCAACTTTGTGGTATGGTGGGTCTCGTTTGCCCCACATGTATGGATTACCAAAAATACATAAACAAGGTTATCCTCTTAGACCTATCTTGTCAATGATCAATTCACCATACCACAAAGTTGCACGATGGTTAGCAGATAAGTTAGAACCAGTGCGTCAACGATTAGCCACCTATACGCTAAAGGATTCATTTGTATTTGCTGACAGCATGAATCACATAAATATTGCTGATAAGTTTATGGTTTCTTTTGATGTAACATCTTTGTTTACAAAAATACCACTTCTTGAGACCATAGACATAATTTGTCAACATTCTGACATCCTACCTCTACCAGTACCAGAATTCAAACGACTATTACTCATTTGTACAAAAGATGTTCAATTCCAGTTCAACGATATCATATACAAACAAACCGATGGTGTAGCGATGGGAAGTCCGTTAGGTCCTGTCCTAGCAGATATTTTCATGGCTAACCTCGAAAGAACCAAACTCAAACGAGCGATTGATGAAATGACGTATTATTCGAGGTATGTTGATGATACCTTCATCGTATGTAATAATAAACAACAAGCAATAAATCTGCTAGAGTTTTTCAACGAAGCACATCCGAATATCCATTTCACTATGGAACATGAAAAAGAAAACAAGTTCCATTTTCTCGATATCGCGATGAAAAGAAGAAAAGATGGTACAGTTCAACGTTCAGTTTATAAGAAAGACACATGGAATGGTAGTTATCTTAATTTCAATAGCTTTTGTCCAATCAGTTACAAAAAGGCACTGGTCAAAACACTGTTTTACAGAACAGAAAGAATATGTACTTCCGATACACTAGAAGAGGAAGTTATGAATGTTAAAAAATGTTTAAAGAATAACGGATACCCACTGAAATTTATTGAGAAATACGGCAAATGTGAAGATAAAAAACTGAAAGAAATTACAGCAAATAAAAAGCCTATTTTTATTAAACTTCAATTCAAAGGTGACGATGTCACAGGATCAATCAATATGAGACTAAAAACTGCACTGACAAGAACCTATCCTGCAGCGAAATTGATTGTCCTGTCCAAAACAACATGTTCTTTGACACAATCAAAGGTCGACAGGTATCCCTTTCATGTTACCACCAACTGTGTATACAAATTTACATGTACCTGCCAAAGCAGTTACATTGGTAGAACAGAAAGGAGAACCTACGTCCGATTCAAAGAACATATTCCGAAAAGTTTAAGATTGAATGGATTGAACTCATTCAACAGTGCTATCGCAAGACATCTCCTTGATACAGGACATAAAGCTGATATACTGAAGTCCTTCAAGGTGATTAACAAACAATCAAACTCGAACCTTTTGAAATTCGCTGAAGCGTTAGCAATCAAACGTTTAAAACCAGATCTATGCATACAAAAAGAGACGGTAATAAATCTTTCTTTACCCTGGTAACAATAACCCTCACTCTTTCTATTAATTTGCTCCTATTTATTTATTTATTACGTCATTATTGCAACTCTTTCTGAAATATAAATTACATCATACATAACTGATTGATTTCAATTCATATTTTCTTTATTACCATTAATCTATTTTCATGAGTTCTAATCACTATTTCAATGTTCCAGAACTTTCCCTTTCTAACTTTATTTATTTATTCGAATCAAACATTTTATGAGCTCATTAACTCTATCTGAATCTTTGCTTGCTACATCATCATACATATGTATTGATCCTTAATCACACTCTTATGTATTAATATGTCAATATCTGTAATAATGTTGAATTTTAAATATTTTAGGTTGTAAGCAGCTGATGAGAACCTAACGAAATAAAATGAATTCATATTATTCTGCACCAATCTTTGTTCTTGCTCTATTTAAGATAATAAAGGGAACTATGTGTATGAACTATTATTATTATTATTATTATTATTATTATTATTATTATTATTATTATTATTATTATTATTATTATTATTATTATTATTTCATTCTCATACACTGGTATCTGTTCGTTATTGTTCTTCTTTTAATATACGCATTTTAAATTCTCTATCTCTTCATAACCTCATTTCTACTGTGTGGCGCGTAAGGTAGCATTAGACTCTTGATTGATAAGTTCTGTGCGTCTGTCATTGTAAGACAAACCAAGGAAGTACATCAACCTTGTACAGTCTCTCTACTCGAACACTACTGATAGGGACTGTCTTCAAGTGGTGTTGTGCAAGGTTGTGCGCTTTCCCCATTTTTATTTGACTTTATCATAGATATGTCACTTTCATCATCTGACTTTGGAGGGATTCGTGTTCCACCAGGAGATTTACTTGTTGACCTAGAATACGCAGGTGACTTGGTTCTGTGTTGATGAAGATCCTGATAAGATGCATTCTTTTGACCACCTTAGGCAGCAACGCAATTGCTCCCCTTCAAATCCAAAATGCTGTTCCAAGATTGGTCTGTGTCAACTGAAGTAATGATAGGGAGTGATGTAGTTAAGTGCGTCGACCACTTCACTTATTTTGGAGATCTTATCATCTCTGATAGCCTGCTGTATGACGAAATCTTGGCACGAATACTGAAAGGTTGGTTGACTTTGCCAGCTTGTGTCATTTGTGGGGTAGGCGAAGTATCCATCTTTCAACCAAATGACGAGTTTACTGTTCACCAGTTTGCTCCGTTTCACTTCATGGGTGTGAAACATAACCACTGAGATTAGGGGATATTCGTAGGCTATTACCATCCAATCATAAGTGTGTTTGGAGCATCGCCGGTGTATTTTTGGACCACTGAGTGGACGGTGCCGAAAAGAGGTATATGGTATTACGTAGATATGGCAGATGAGTTGACGATGTAGTGAATATTCATTAGTTGAGGTGATTAGGACATGTGTTATCCAACCACCGACTACCTTGATGTGGGGAATTGTATGGTGTAGGAGTATGTTGGAAGAAGACTAACGGGTATCAAATAAGACGTGGCACCAGTTCATAAAGTCACTAACATCTGGACCGTTGTAGACCACCTGGTTGGGATTCACATAACTAGAGGCTTTGAGGGGAATGACTCAAAATCGGTTGCAATAGCTCAGGTGGATTCACTCTCTATCTTTCTGTGGTTACTAAATCCTAAAATCTTATACTTTTTCGTTTATTTTTTACTACTACTGTTACTTCATCACTTCTACTATTCTAGGATTTGTCTTGACAATTTTATTTCGCTGTGTTACTGTAGTATGTCAACTTGAACCAATCCAAGTTGCGCGTTACTCACTTACTGAAAAATATTTAAAATAACTGAGTGTGGTAATGTTCTGTAATGAAGTAATGATTTGGTTTGTATTGAAGAATTCCTGTTATGAAACTAACTAATAAGTACTAAATCACTGCAAACTGATTTCATGTTCACTATAGTTTATTTGTGATTACTCCTTCCAAACATCCGTTATAATGAGGTCGTCATTTTGTTGCAACTATCAGTTGTCCAAGGTTATTTTTGTTCCTTAGAAAAATATTCGATAACCTAATAGGGAATTTGTCTGTAATATGTAATGTAGGTTAAAAAACTTCGAAGAATATTTCAACTGATGTACAACTACTCTCCAGTTGCCTAAGGTTTGACTGTTTTTGCAATAAGCAATTCACATCATCCGTACAACTCATGACGAAATTGAGAAAGCTATGACGCATTTAACAACAAGACCTGCTTTGTTAATGTTTCTTTGTACACCCTATCATCGTGATGCATTTAGTCATATCAGTAGTATCTTTAGACCATATTTTGAATAGAGCAATGCTTTTAGTACTCTGAATATTATGGTAAGTTTTTCTTTATGTTCCGATTGTTTGGTAAGCTTTTTTTAAAATTTCCCATAGGCACATTTGTTGGATTGGATCATAGTGCACCAACTAGTCGTTCCGATGGTAAAGCCTTAATCGTTAATGAATTACTGAATAAATTGCATACTCCAGTTATGATGATAGGTGATGGAATGACAGATGCAAATGCTTGTCCACCAGCTTCTGTATTTATCGGTTTCGGTGTCAATGTTATTCGTCCTAAAGTTAAAACTTTATCCGATTATTTCTGTACATCTGTGGAAGAATTAATTAATTTGTTGAAAAACCATAAAATGTTACTATGAAATTATATATTGTATATATGGTTTTACTTTACATAAATTAATATTTTCAGTATTATATGTGGATGTAATGTAAATATTCTTAATTACCAATTCCTAAACACTGTTTACCTGATATTTTTGATAAAATAGTCTCACTAGTGGGTAATCTTTTGTATTTAAAAAGGCAGTAAACAATTAAGTTATCATTAAAAAATAATGAATAAAAGCAAATTATAAACTAATTTAACCAGGAAAAATTTTGCTTATGGTTCATGCTGATACATTTTATTCATAACAGAATCAGTAGAAAAAATAAGTCAAAGGAAAATATGCTAAAATGAATTTAAATGTACATAAAGAAGTGAGTAATATGAGTTACACTTTGCTTCAGTGTGTTCAATTTCAATTTCTGACAGTGAAGTCTTATTCACTGCCTTCTCGAGGCAGGGGTATTGTTTACGAAACTGAGAGAATGAAAGGCGAATGTTCGACGTTTTGATCGGGTTGACGGACACGGAGAGTCAACCTAAGAGAGTTGGAAAACCGTGATTTTAAACCAATGGTGCACATGGGATCCAGAATCCTGAGGAAAATAATGGCGTGTGAACCTATTGATGGTCGCCGACTACCACAGGACTGCATCTCCTGACGTTGCTCCACTACCTTGTGGATTAGACTTTTAGGTTAAAGGCTAGCGGAGTGGTCCCCTAAAGAAACCACCTCCGGTTTGAGCACCCGGGAAGTATCCAAACCCTCGCACAAATCCGATGTGACGCATATGTATTCGATGCCTCTTTGTACCGGTATTTATGTTTGAATAAGATAAAATAAGTCCGTTTAACTGATTGTAGTTTCGCGATTCGGTCACTGCGAATTTCTTGATCTTGAGATCGGGCGTCTACTGAATATTTCATTAAGTCAAGCGACACTGTTAAAAGTTTGCCTGGCACTTACAGTAGTTTGATGTCTCTGTTTTTTATACTTACTAAGACCTCCCGTGGTCTCGATGAGGTACCCTTATTTTCTGTCTGCCGATACTTGTTCTCCCCTCCAAATCTTTCTGAAGAGAACGTGACTCATCATGATAGTTACCTCTATATCTGACTACAGTGCTTCAATTGGTATGCTGTCTGATCCTGCTCCTGTCCCATAGTTGATTTGTCTAGTGGTTTTCCTGATTTTCTCCATTTTCGATGCTGTTACATCTACAGATAGGGCTGTGTATACTGCTTGGATATCTGGTGGGTTCAGTGGGACTGGTCAATTAAAGAGTTCTTCAAAGTGTTCTATCTATCTGTTACACTGCTGTTGAACCTCGCTAACTGATGTGCCTTCTTTGTTTTTGACTGACCAGTTTGATTTGTTTCTGATATGTTTTGTCAGTTGAACGCTACTTGTTATATCTGGTTGTCGCTGATTGTTGTGTCGGAAATGCTTATCACTTATACTCGAAACGAGGAACCTCTGCAATTTCTATGACTCGAAAGTAAGAGCACGAAGACTGGTTATAAGTGATGATTTATTAACCCCAAAACACGACGACCCTAATAAGAAATACACTCATTTATATAATGATTTCTACACCCATATAACAAATCACATGCTGAGCGTAGTTCATGTCAGTTGAATACAAGAATATCGTATCCTATACAGCATAAAATATCATACGGGAAAACAAAACAAATACTACTCTGAATAATCGTCAGATTGAATTAAAACGGAAGTTGATCCTGTTAGCGTAATTTCGAAGCGCTCGTTGTAGTCCTGGGCTACATCAGCTATTACAACAGTAAAAATCACCTCCATTATTTCGATTTCATAATCAACCGTTCATTCGAGGAGTATCACTTAAAATACTGGCTTCATTACAACATGATCGAAAGAGTCAGAATAACATAAAGCGTACTAAATGCCTAGTAACATGAATGTATTCAGTTCAACTTTTTCGAAAATGCTGGTGCTTTTGTTCAGTAAGGTTTCTATAGGAAATTTGTGAAGTCGTCATAGCTAATGAGGGAAATTTTCAGACAGACTAACCAATCTAGCAGCTACATGTGCATAATTTAAGACAGACGAGAGAATACTAATTAGCTGCAAAATTGTATAAAAAAGCTACCCAGTTTTCCAACTGATGTCAGTCCGTAAAAAACTTTTAATTTAATTTTCACGAAGACAATCATCCCAATACTATAAGGACACCAGTAGGGTACCGAGAGTGTTCAAATAGGAAAGTTGTTGGCGACTAAGAGATCAAGTTTTATTTTTTTTTTTCGTCTTTAGTCTAGAAACGTTCCAGATAATCAAGTATAACGTCAAGTCATTCATGCTTAATTAAAGATTATTCGTTGATTACTTTTGAAATGAATCTTTATACTTCCATCATAGTTTTTAATGCAAATATTTGAAATTGTTTGGAGCTTCTGATAGTGTGCCATTGTTTTATGGTCACTTAATGTGGATAGTAAACGGGGAAGAAAATCATTTACGTTGTTTTACAGGGTAACTGGAAATATGGGTGGAACTATATGCATGTGCAAAAATAGGAAAAAACATTTTATTTATATACTAAAAAAGGGCTTTCTAAAATCCAGTTGCAGCTCTAGATCAATCCAGCCACCTCATTCATTCCAGAATTTTGTAAAACTGGTTAAATAAATATAAGATCTGAGCTATTTAGTTGTTTTTACTACTACTACCAGATATACTGCATATACGCTGAAGTTGTCATCACAATTTTCAGTGTTGTGTTCAGCATTTTTGTCTATCCTTCAGTTCATTTAACAAGTAAGTGGTGTAATCTCCATTAAAGTTTTCCTTTCAAGTGTTTGAACTTATTCATGCCTGTTACCAATACGATGAAGTGTGGCTCAATCAACTAATGAAAAACATAAATGTTGTGGAAGTTAAGGCTTAAAGTGAAATCACTAATGGAAATCACACTCCTACATGCAGTATTCTCCCACTAAATGAAACAAAAAAATAAACAAAAGTACAAGAAATAGTACAACTATTGAACTTCGTAAAAGTCATGGTTAACCACAGTTTTGCACACTATGGATCTTTCGTAAAACATTTTTCAAACTTTAGAAAATCCTACTTATCTAATTTGGTTTAAATACATTCATCCACCGGTTTAATGCTTATAGTTGGTTGATAAATTCAGTAGATTGCTCAACAACAGTTGGTTGAATAAGAAAAGCTGTTATTGTAATTCACAGAGTGCGTAACTTATTGAACGTAAGTTATTTAAAAGTTACGCATATTACAGAATTAAGTGACTAAGTCATTACCGATATATCGACCTAAAAACAGCAACCTAACATAATTTAAATTGTTTAGTTCAAGTTCAAAAATATTTCAATATTATAAACAGTTTGAGAGCATGAGTCAGTTGAAGCTAGACCACCATGAAAAACCTGGAAGCACTGAGCGGCCGTTTTGTCTTATCGTGGAACTCAGCAGTGCGCATCCACGATCCCGCACCCCGCGAGATTCGAACTCAGGACTTATCAGTCCTGATGACAATGGTGGGTGTGTCGCTCAATTTCGTGGATTAGTTGAAGTTAGATAATAACACCGTTGTATACCGGCTCAGTGGCCTAGTTGGTTAGGCGCTTGGCGCGAGACTGATAGGTCCTGGGCTGGAATCTCGCGGGGTGCGGGATCGTGGATGCTCACTGCTGAGTCTCACAATAGAACGAAACGGCCGTCCAGTGCTTCCAGGTTTTTCATAGTGGTCTAGCTTCAATTGACTCATGATCTCAAACTGTCTAAACTACTACAATCTCCACAAAACCCCTTCTGATACTATTCAATATTATAATTGTCAGTAATTGTTAGATAAGGATGGGATGGTCCTAATGAAAATAAATTTCTCTAGATTCTTTAATAATTGCTTGTTTTCAAAATATATTTTACTCTAAATCGGATGATTTTGTAAACAATTCAATTCTGTTACTGAACAAGTATTCATAATATATCACTTAAATACTCTTAAAAAGAAAAATACGCTTCAGGCGTCCAAATCATGATACACTTCATTTACATAGTAATATATAATTTTCAATATAAAACATATATCGATTCTTTCAATATCTAGAATATTTGTCTATGTATCATTAACTGTGTGAAAAAAGACTCCTAAGAACTATTGACTATGTGAACACCATGAATTGTAAGCTAACCTTATTCATAAACAAATGCATTTATATATATATATATATATATATATATATATATATATATATATATATATATATATATATATATATATATATATATATATATATATATATATATATATGGTGTTTTTTATTAATATACAGTTCATGAAGAGATAGTATGTTGTATACTGGACCATTGGTTTAATCAAATTTGTATTAACAATAAACGTGTGTGAACTCGGTTAAATACATCACATCTATTTGTTAATATTTCAATTACCATAGAAATGTATTAGATCACATAATCAACTAAACATTTTAAAAAAATTCGTAGTTTAGTTTACTTATTCATTGTTTAAATATAATAGAAAATATTTTTAACATTTATATTTGTCTAGATAAATATGAATGTGAATGAAAATAAATTATAGAATTTTTCTAAATTTAACCTACACACGAATTATCGTTAATCAGTGTAGGATAAATTGGTGATCATACTGAATGCGGATGTGATTACTCACAAATTTTAAACAAATTTTCAGAGTATAATTATCATTAACTGAACTATATTTTATAATGACATAAGGTGATATGGCGAAGTTTCTATACGAATTTCGTTTACACCACGATTTAGTATCATAATTGATGAGCTTGTAGTGACTCACATTTATCACGAGAACACGACTGGTTTAATAAAAACAATTATTATTATGACCAACTGTACCAGTGTTTGTTTTAACGTGCTTTTGTTTGACTGTGCTAATGACGGCTATTTTGTGCTTCCATTCTTATTCACACACTTTGATTGTGACTTCGCGCGAATTCGGTTACGTTCTGTAACCAAGCTTCTATCCTGGC